CATTTCACATCAACAGAAATGTTTGTAGGTGTTGATGTTCCCAGCCTGTTCTCAGCTGTACAGTAATACTCTCCAGAGTCAGCAGGCTGGATGGACTTGAAGGAGAACTGTGAATCTGTGCTGACAGGTGTTTGATTGTTCATCTTGTGCCAGACATACGTAGCTGCTGGGTTAGCATCGCTGCTACAGGTCAGAGTCACTGAAGTGCCCTCCACTATCTCAGCAGACGGACTCACTGACACAGAGGGAGGCTTTGGAGCATCTGGAGGAGAAAACACAGGGAGGTAACTGTAGTTTGAATTTCTGATCAAATCAACTGTGTAAGTGTACATAGACAGGAGTGAAGAGTTCTGGATGGTGTTAGCACGAATGTTAACATTCTCAGACGCAAGATAAGATAAGATAAGATAAGATAACCTTTTCAGTCCCACACGTGGGAAATTTGTTTGTTACAGCATAAAGTTGACAGTGCAAAGTTACATAGCAAAAATTAGAAAAACACTGGAATAGGATAAGAATAAGAATAAGATACTATACACAACTGTACACAGTAGAATATAACAAAATAAAACACTATATACAGTAGGCTAAAATAGAATAAAAATACTACAACTGAGTAAAATACAACTTTGTCAGAGAAAGAGTATTGCACTCAGTATTATTGTTATTGCACATGTGTGGATATGTGTGTCTGGTCAGTTGCGAAGTCTTTGTTGTCGAGTCTGACAGCAGACTTATGGCATTTCCATAACTTATATCAAAGTTTACTTCACTCATTGTAAACAAGAAATTATGAGAACAAAAAAAAATGCTGTTATGAAAATTGTTTGACTTACATTTCACATCAATACTGATGGATTTAAGTGTTGACCCCAGCTTGTTCACAGCTCTACAGTAATACTCTCCAAAGTCAGAGGACTGGATGGAGCTGAAGATGAGCTGTGGGTTTTTGCTGAGTGGTTGGCTGTTCCTCTTGTACCAGACATACGTAGCTGCTGGGTTAGCTTCACTGCTACAGGTCAGAGTCACTGAAGTGCCCTCCTTGATTTCACCAGATGGACTCACTGACACAGAGGGAGGCTTTGGGTCGTCTGAAGGAAACACAGGCAGACAAAAGCATGTTATTAGTTCCTTCAAAGGTTGAATTATTAAGCAGATCAAACAACTCAATGAATCTAATGCTACAGGAGCTTCTCAGTGAGGAGAAAGGTAAATTTAGAAAAATCACAACGTTTTTATCATTTCACTACTTGATGGAAGTCAATGATCATGATTACCTGATATGTGAAATAGTTTTGTGCATTGATTTATAAGGGAATATGTGGCATATAAAAATGCAATAAATGGAGCTGTTCAGTGATCAACAGCAGCTGAAATGAATTATGAAGCAGACAGAGATGAACAAAGCAAATGTTTGAGGTTGATCAATTTTAATTATAAATGAAGGGATTTTAGAAAGTTTTTCTTAAAACAAATAAACTTGTTCACTCACATTTGACATCAATGGAGGTATATTCAGATCTCTTCCTCCCCACTTTGTTCTGAGCTGTACAGTAATACTCTCCAGAGTCAGAGGGCTGGATGGAGCTGAAGGAGAGCTGC